GCACTACAGGCCTACCTCAAAAACCAAGAAAAATTAATAATGAACTATTTAACCCTACAACTTAAAGAATTAGAAAGAGAACAATAAGAAAAGCCCAGAGTAAGTGGAAGGAAGGAAAAATAAAGATTAGAGCACTAACCGGTTTGGCTCAGTGGATAGAGCGTCGGCCTGCGGACTGAAGGGTCCCAGGTTAGATTCTGGTCAAGGGCATGTACCTTGTTTGCGGGCACATCCCCAGTGGGGGGTGTGCAGGAGGCAGCTGATCAATGTTTCTCTCTCATCGATGTTTCTAACTCTCTATCCCTCTCCCTTCCTCTCTGTAAAAATTCAATAAAGATATATTTTTTAAAAAGATTAGAGCAGAAATAAATAATATAGAGACTAAAAAAAAAAATACCCCCCCCCCCAAAAAAAGTCAATGAAACCAAGAGCTGGTTCTTTGAAACGATAAACAAGATTGATGAACCCCTAGCCAGACTCATCAAGAAACAAAAAGAGAGAACCCGAATAAATAAAATCAGAAACAAAAGAGGTGAAGTAACAACTGAACACCACCGAAATACAAAGATATGTGAGAAAACCCTATGAAGAACCATATGCCAACAAGCTGGACAATGTGGATAAAATAGACAAATTCCTAGAAAAATGCAATCTTCCAAAACTGAATCAGGAAGACTGAATAATTGCATTTTAAATGGCTATGTGTTATTCTCACAGCCAGTTGGCCTGGAGGTCAAATCCCCCCTAGTGTTACCTACAACAATCAAGGCTTAACTACAACAAGACAGCGCACAAAGACCACTAGGGGGTGCACCAAGAAAGCATAAAAAATGTGGAGACAAAGAAATAGGACAGAAATGAAGAAAGGCAAAATGCTGGATATAGAGCTCAAAACCACACTTTTAAGGTCTCTCAAGAACTGTCTAGAAGCCCCCAATAAATTTAGTAAGGCCCTCGAAAAGACTGGTGAGACTGCCAATAAATATAGTGAGAGCCTCAAGAAATCTAGTGAGACCCTCGAGGTTGTGATAAAGGACCAACTAGAAATTAAGCATACACTGACTGAAATAAAGAATATTATACAGACTTCCAACAGCAGACTAGAGGATCGCAAGAATCAAGTTAAAGATTTGAAATACAAAGAAGCAAAAAACACCCAACCGGAAAAGCAAAATGAAAAAAGAATCCAAAAATATGAAGATAGTATAAGGAGCCTCTGGGACAGCTTCAAGCGTACCAACATCCGAAGTATAGGGGTGCCAGAAGATGAGAGAGAGCAAGATATTGAAACCTATTTGAAGAAATAATGACAGAAAACTTCCCCTACCTGGTGAAAGAAATAGACTTACAAGTCCAGGAAGCATGGAGAACCCCAAACAAAAGGAATCCAAAGAGGACCACACCAAGACACATCATAATTAAAATGCCAAGAGCAAAAGACAAAGAGAGACTCTTAAGAGCAGCAAGAGAAAGAAACTCAGTTACCTACAAGGGAATACCCATACGACTGTCAGCTGATTTCTCAACAGAAACTTTGCAGGCCAGAAGGGAGTGGCAAGAAATATTCAAAGTGATGAATACCAAGAACCTACAACCAAGATTACTTTATCCAGCAAAGCTATCATTTAGAATTGAAGGTCAGATAAAGAGCTTCACAGATAAGAAAAAGCTAAAGGAGTTCATCACCACCAAACCAGTATTATATGAAATGCTGAAAGGTATCCTTTAAGAAGAGGAAGAAGAAGAAAAAGGTAAAGATACAAATTATGAACAACAAATACACATCTATCAACAGGTGAATCTAAGAATCAAGTGAATAAATAATCTGATGAACAGAATGAACTGGTGATTATAATAGAATCAGGGACATAGAAAGGGAATGGACTGACTATTTTTTTGGGGGGGGGGGCGGTGGAAGGGATGTGGGGGATGCGGGAAGAGACTGGATAAAAATCCTGCACCTATGGATGAGGACAGTGGGTGGGGAGTGAGGGTGGAGGGTGGGATGGGAACTGGGAGGAGGGGAGTTATGGGGGGAAAAAAGAGGAACAAATGTAATAATCTGAACAATAAAGATTTAATTAAAAAAATAAAATAAAATGCCTATGTGACTATGTAATATCCTCCAGTTTGCCTCTTGAGCTGAAAAGTCTAAAATATTTACAATCAGGCCCTTTAAGAAAAAGATTGCCAACCCTGGTCTCGGGCGGCCAGCAGTGGGTGGGAAGAAGTGGCCTCTCGAGAGGTATTTAGGAGATGGGGTCCAGAGGGCAGGATTTAAAGGCTGGCGGGAGAGTAAATTGGGGGGGAGTAAAGACTGCACATTAAATGAACAGCTGGTCCACTCTGGAGTTAGAGGCGGCATTGTGGGAAGTGATGAAAAATGGCTGGAGACGCCAACCAAGACCTGGCACCGCGGACTCAGGGCCCAGAGCCACATGCTCTCTCAGTGGGTTACTCTGCTGCACCTCTAGCTCCTAGAAGTGTTGGAGTTGATAAATATTTGTTGAATGAATACGTGGGAGCGTGATGTAGCCAAAACAGTAGAATTGAATCCCAGGTCCCATCTCACTAGCTCTCTGTGTGCCCTTAGCCAATTTGCACACCTCCTCTAGACCTTTGTAAAGCGGCATTTAAAATTTTTCCCCCTCAGAGTTGTGAGGATTAAGTGAAAGAAAGTGTCTCCCTTCCTAAGTGACCTTTAGTCTGGATTTTGCCTGCTGACAGGAGTGAAAGGGTGAACCCAGGGTGAGGGAGCCGGTCCAGTAGGGGAAGGTCTGTCTGGTTAAGTGCAAGTGTCCTGTGTCAGCCCCCCCCCCCCACTTTATTTTTACTGACTGCAAAACTAATACATGCTATTGTAATACCTCCAAACAAAATGGGAATCCTAAAAGTAAAAGATTTCCCAAAATCTTACCCTCCAGGTAGCCACTATTAACAATTTGTTTTTATTCTCTGGAGCTGATTTTCTCACAGTGGGAGTCACCCACACACACACTTCTTAAAAATTTTTTTCCCTTTATTGATTAAGTATTACAAATGTGTCCTGATCCCCCCAATGTCCCCTCATCCCCCCAATCCTGCCCTCACTCTCACCCCCTGTTGTCCACATCCATGGCTTATGCTTATATGCATGCATACAAGTCCTTTGGTTGATCTCTCCCCCTCACCCCCCCCCCCCCTTACCTTCCCTCTGAGTTTTGAGCATCTGAGCGATGCTTCTCTGTCTCCACATCTGTTACCCACACACACTTTTCATTTTGCCCACGGGGTTTAACCCTAACTTTTTTCTAATGTGAAAAATAGATAAATAAAATTTAAATCAATGGCCCCACCATTGTCCCCGGAGTCCTGTCTCCTTCCTCCTGACCAGCAGGAATCCTTCCATTCTCTATGCACATGCAACCACATATGTGCAAACGTTCTTTCCCAAGGCCCTGCGACCTTGCTGAATCCATGTAAGCTCTGGTAACTTCTGTAAATTCCCTAAGGTAGTCTATGTATTGAATTGTGTGCCTGTGAATAGAGGCAGTTTGCTTCTTCCTTTCCAGTCTTGATGCTGTCCATTCATTTTTGTTTGCTTGTTTTTTTAATGTATTGTTACATATGTCCTCTTACCCCCCCCCCCCCGTCCCCCTGTCCTCCCCATTGACCCTCTCCAGCCCGCCCCCGTGCCCCTCTCCTCAACCCCTCTCCCCTTGTCCCAGGCCTTTACCATCCTATTGGCTGTGTCCCTGGTTATGCATACAAGTTCTTTGGTTGATTACCTCTAACCGACCCACCCTTCCCCACCTTCCCTTCGAGATTCCGCAGTCTGTTCTGTGCTTCCATGTCTCTGGATCCATTCCATTCATCCATTTATTTTGTTCATTAGATTCCACATATGAGTGAGATCATGTGATACTTGCCTTTCTCTGACTGGCTCATTTTGCTAAGCATAATGCTCTCCAGGTCCCTCCAGGCGTTCATTCATTGTTCTTGCCTGTGGCACTGGCCAGAGCCTCTGGTACAATGTTGAAGGGAAGTGGGGACGTTTCTCCTTCTCCAGGAAAGAGCATGCAGGCAGAAAGCAACTCGAGCAAAAGCTAAGAGACTGAAAGGTCTCAGTGAGCAGTTCAGCGTTCCTGGGTGTGAACACGGGCGGGCGGTGAGGCTGGAGCAGGAGGGGGGTTGGGCCAGCCACACAGAGCTGAGCTGCTTGGGCTGTGCCTTGAAGTTATGGAGAAACCATGGGAGGTTTCACTGCGGGGAGAGGGGCTTGCCGGGTGTGTCTTTGGGAAGATGGGCAGAGGGGGGACAGACAGAGGACTGGGCACACAGAGTGCCTCATTGTTCTCTGAGGTCCCAAAATATGGACACTAAAAGCAGTTAATACAGTCAGTTGTCCGCCAGGCATTTATGGAGAACCTGGTGAACGCAGGCTGCAGTTGGCCCTGGAACAACATGGGGGTTAGGGCGCCAACCCCCTGTGCTGTCGAAAAACCATGTATAACTTTCGACTTCCCCCAAAACTTAACTACCTACAGCTTATTGTTGACCAGAGCCTTACAGATAACATAAACAGCCATACATATTTTGTATCTTCTATGTATCGTATACCGTATTCTTACAATAAAATAAGCTAGAGAAAAGGAAATGTAATTAAGAAAATTGTAAGGAAAACACATTAATAGTACTGTACTGTATTTATGGGGAAAAAATCTGTATATAAATGGACCCATGAAGTTCAAGGGTCAACTATACTTTACTGGAGGGAGGGAGGTGGAGGAGAAGACCAAAGTGAATAAGCAGCCTGGTGTAGTGGGGGGGTTGAGTTTTGGAGTTAGGCCTACGCAGGTTAAAATCCATGCTCCAGTGTGACGTTGGGCTGGCTGCATCTCTCCTCTTTGAAGGCCTGTGAAGCTGATCTCTTCTTCCTGGGGCTGTGGGCTGGATGGGCCAGTGCTGCTGGTACTGGGCATTTCCTTCCTCTCAGACCTCTCACCTGCTTCTCTCCCCAGCTCAGACCTGCATTATAGTCTTCATAGGCCTCCTGTTCACCAGATTCTGGTTCGTAAGTGTCCTGTATGCAACTTGGTGGTACCTGGACCGAGACACGCCATGGAAGGGCGGCAGGCGCGCCCAGGTCCTAAGACGCAGCGTCGTATGGAAGTACATGAAGGACTATTTCCCCATCTCGGTGAGTATGAGGGCTGGCTTGGGTGTGGCCAGGGCTAACGTGTCCCACTTCTCCATGAGGAAAGCGGGGCCCTGTGTGAAGTGAGAAGAGCCAGGGCTACCACCACTGCGGACCATGGGGAAGAGTCCGGCCATGGTTTCCCATCCATGGGCATGTGCAGCCAGTATGAGGGCTGATGAATGCACAGGATTTGAAAGAGCGCTGTGGGGCATATCATATGGCCCACATGTGTGTCTTGTAGGTGTAAACCCCTCTGCAGCCCGGGCTTGGGTGGAGGGAGATAATAAACTCAAGGTCCTAAGAGACCATCTACTCCACATTTCATCAGATGACACACTGACACCCAGAGGGACAAAGGTATGACCAAGGCCACACAACAAGTTTTTGTTTTGTTTTTACTGGTTTTAAGGTTTGTGCATTAACTGTGGGTAAAGGAGAAGGGGAGCGAACTGGCCCTTGGGTTCTCTCCTGCTCCTAACCCTGGTATGGTATGCTGTGCCAGTGTGTCCTTGGGTTGGGCCTTGCCCCATTCTGAACCTCAGTTTCCCTCTGTACCCAGTAAGCAGACTGATCTCTCCTACTCTGAGTGCCTTGAATCTCTGACTCTCTGACTCAAGGCACCTCACGACCCTTCTGAACAATTGACCCTGGACCCAAGATTAGTCCTGAGTGAAGCATACCCCTGGATTCACAGACCCTTCAGCTCTTTACTGAGCCCCCGACGGACGCAACCCTGGACGTAAGCAGCTGGGCAGGGCTGTTGCATTGGCCAGATGAGATAGGATCTGGAAGGCAAGGGAACACGGAGAGGTGCCAGGCAGGGACAGTTGGAAACAGTAAAGAAAAACAAAAGGTATAGAATGTGGTCTCTGGAACTAGACGGACGAGGTTCTAATACCAGTCCGACCACCCACCAGTTGTGTGACCTTGGGTGAGTCACAGTCTCTCTGAGCCTCAGTTCCCGCATGGGTGATGTGGAGATGATGCCACATATGTCACTGGGCTGCATCCTGGGGTTCAATGAGACAGGGGGGTAAAGTGCCTTGTAGGTTCTCAGTAAACTGGAGGCAGGATAATTTTACCGAGTCCGTGGGGAGCCTGGGAGGTGTGGGCGTGGCTGCAAGTCTGATAGCCCAGAGCCACGCTGCTTTGACCTTTACAACTGCTTGGCTTCTCCTCCTCCATCCAGAGCCCCACCTCTTCCTGTCCCTCCAGCAGTCTGTTCTGCAGCTGATAAAGGGGAAAGGAGGGGAGGAAACGGGCTCCCTGAGATTAAACAGTCAGTGGCAGTCAGCACTCCTCCATTGCTTCCAAGAGTCCTGAGGCCCAACAAGGACTAGCAAAGGCTGGACAACAACTGGGGTACAGGAGCCCCTAGTATTCCAGTAAGAAGTTACCCTGGGCAAAGGACAAGGGTGGGCAGGGCAGGGCAGCAGGGCAGGGGCTGGGCAGAGGGCAGGAAGTTGGCCAGCAGAGACTTCCATGCTCATGTTGAAAAGCAGAGTGAGGGGGCAGTGCTGAGCTAACCTGAGGGGTCCAGGTGGGGGTGATCTTCCTCACTCCTTACATTCACTTCCTCTGCAGTGTGCCCTTCCAGGATATTGCCATCAAAGGCAAGCAGGGGCCCTGGCCGGTTTGGGTCAGTGGATAGAGCATTGGCCGGTGGACTGAAGGGTCCCAGGTTCAATTCCGGTCAAGGGCATGTACCTTGCTTGCGGGCACATCCCCAGTGGGGGGCATGTGAGAGGCAGCTGATTGATTTCTCTCTCTCATCGATGTTTCTAACTCTCTATCCCTCTCCCTTCTTTTCTGTAAAATCAATAAAATATATATATATTTTTTAAAAAGGCAAGCAGGGCTTGCTGGGTCCTAAAAGGAGCCATGGGCACATCGTGGGCAGGCTCCCTTATCCTCACTCAGGATTTCTGAGCTTGAGATCTGAATTCCCTTCCCTCCCTCTCCTCCTCCCAGGCCAGGGTTTGCTCTCCTATTCCAGGAAGATCAGAGTTTCCATGGGAAAGTGTGGACAACAGCTTCCAAGCCAAAGAAACCTTAAGCAGGTTCTGGCCTCTGGTAGAGCTTTGTGGATTCTCACTCTGTGGTCTCCCCTCCCACTGTGAGCTGAATCTGTAGCTGGACAAGCAATGGGTCCGTGCTGCCTGTCACTACTTGAGCCAATTGACAGGGTTGAATCATATATGAGCGTTTATTCCAGTATTGCCAGCAGCATGGAAGAGCAGCAGGTCATCCACAAAAATCTGCTCTGCCCCCACCATAAACCAGCTGCTTATATTGGGGAAGTAACAAAAAAGGGCAAATGGGCTGTTTACAGGCATACAAAGGGCTGGGGATCTTGGAGCTGCGATTCTGGTTTCTGCAACAGGTTGTTAATCTCCTGATAATAGGCAGCTCCCAAATGGGAGGGAGGGCTTCATTTCCAGGTGAGCTTCCAGTTCCCAAGTACAGCTGTCAGCCAGGGTAGACTGTGCCTTCCTTAACCAGAATAAAACAATCGTGGTTAACAGAGCATGATTAATATTCCTGACAATTATGGCTGGTTCCCCAACGTTCTGTTCCTGTCACTATCAAACCCTGAGTTCGCCAGGGAAAGAAACGGGTCAGCACAGGCGCAGGTCGCAGTATGGCTTCTGAGCAATGCGCCTGATGTTCAGTGTGAATGAAGCAGAAGGTCACCTGGGGATGAGGTTAGAGACTTTTTCAGGGACAAGGGAACAGAGGCCACGGAAGACCATCTTACAGAACTGGGACTCCTCAACTGAAAATTCTCCAGGGGGGCTGTCATCCAAGGGCCCACAAAGGATAGCATCTGGCTCTTTGCACCTGGAGCTGCTGCCAGTTGCAGGTCTGGCAGGAAATGATGCTGAGGTGGCTCTGAGCCTACCCTACCCCGGCCAGGTAGCTCTGAAGGAGGGTTTCTCAATCTGGGCACTACTGACAATGGTGGGACAGTGGGCTTGCTTTGCAGAAATTCTGCCTGCATAGTGTTTCCGGATTGACGCCCCCTGCAGGCCAGTTGCATCACCGCCTGCAGAGGGCTGGCAGTACCACCAGGTGGCCAGCAGAGGGCGAGATGACACGCACTTTTACTTTGCCCGTCTAGGCTGGGAACCTGTAGGGGTGGGGCTGTGGCCTCCAGATTCTCTTCCCTGTAGTCTCCCTGGAGGCCCTCCAAATCTCTCTGCGAGGACCTTGGGGTGAGCAGGAGGTAGGGAGTCCCAGCTCTGCTGGAGCTCCCCCTCCCCTCCAACCTACATTCATAAGCCTCTGCAGTCCCATCAAATACATGCGGATTTCTGAGCTCCCACCAGTTCTTACTGATTTTTTGAATTAGCGTCTAGTGGCGGAATTTCAGGCAAAATTAGGAAACTGTGTCTGGGCCCTGGACTTTTCTAAACTCACCGTATGGGCTTCCTAAGAAGCTGACGATGGAGAGTCAGGCCATGTTTGCTGTGGGAGGAGCTGTCCACCTCCCGACTAGGACCCGTGCCTGGGAGCTGGGTTTCCCTGTGCAGATTTCCTCATCCCAGAGCAAACACTGTCCACAAGGCCAGGGCCTGAGGAGGGTCAGGTCTGGAGGAGTCTAGCACACAGATCTCTGTGGCCAGGGCTGTGACCTAATGTCAGGAACAGCTGCAGTGCAGGAGATCACCCCTCCCACCCACACCCGGGATCGTCCCTCAGCTCCTGCACAGCCCTGCAGGCATCACTAGGGACTTCCTGCCCCAACTCCCAGCTCAGCCACCTCCCAGCACACTGAGGTCTCTTAACCTAAGTCAGAGAGACGCCGGTGCCTGGCCGCCCACCCAGGATAGAATTCCAGCTCACTCAGGCCTGGGACGGATGGGCACTCATTTCCTTCTGCGATGGCTCCTTTCATGGTGGGAGGGCTCTGTCTGTGAGGTCTTCCTTCACAAGGAGATGGGGCCTGTCTCCTGGGACCCGCCCAGGAGTCCTACCTCTGCTGTGGCACAGGGACCGGGCGCAGAGAACAGCTGTCCCCTCAGCCCTATGGCTGCCCTGCAGGGATTGGGGGCCTCCATTCCTGTTGACTCCACTGCCTTTGCTGCCACTCCCTCCTCCAGCCTCATAGCTCTCAAGGCAGCTTTCTCAGCACCATTGACATTTTGGGTTGAATGAGTCTCTGTTGTGTGTGTGTATATGGGGCAGGGAGGGATTTCTGATGTCTGACTTCATCCTGGGTCCCTACCCACTAGATGCCAGTAACACACCCCTCCACCAGTTGTGACAACAAAAAATGTCTGCAAACATTCCCAAATGTCCCCTCTGGGGGGAGAGGGGCTGGGCAAGTGACCCTGGTTGAGAACTGCTGCTCTAGAGCCTGGGTGGGGTGTCTCCCAGACTCCTCCAGACATGACCCTTCTCTCCTCCCAACGTTCTAAGTCCTGGCCACAGTTATCTTTTTATCTGGACTCTTAAAATGTTAAAAAACAAAAACAAAACAGCCTGGCCGGCATGGCTCAGTGATTGAGCATCGACCTGTGAACCAGGAGATCATAGTTCGATTCCTGGTCAGGATACATGCCTGGGTTGCGGGTTTAACCCCCAGAGGCAGCCGATCGATCAATGATTCTCTCCCATCACTGATGTTTCTATCTCTCTTTCCCTTTCCTTTCCTCTCTGAATTCAATAAAAATATTTTAATTAAAGAGAAAGAGATGGGTCTGGGCAGACATGGTAGAGCCACAGCCCCTCACTGTCCCTCCCAGCCTAGGTCCAGTCATCCTCTCCTGGGAGCCTGTGCAGGGTCTACTAGGCAAAGGTCTTGGGATTCAAAGTAGGAACACCCCTGGGAGAACTGAAAACATGTTTGCGCTGAGACTTGTACACAAGTGTTCATGGCCATATTACCGGAAATGGCCAGAGACCATTAAGTGGACAAAGAAAATGTAGTCTATCCATACAATGGAATAGCATTCAGTCATAAAAAGGAACGAAGTACTGATGCAGGCCTCAACATCGATGAACCTGGAAAACATTCTGTGAAGTACAAGAAGACAGACATAAAAGGCCGCATGTTGAATGATTCCATTTATATGAAATTTCCAGGAGAGGCAACTCCATAGAGACAGACAGCAGTGGCTGCCAGGGGCTGGGGGAACGAGAAGTGACCACTCTGGGTTTCTTCCTGGGGTGTTGAAAATGCTCTAGAATTAGAAATGGTGATGGTTGCCCACCTTTTAAACATATTAAAATCACTGAGTTACACCCTTTCAAAAGGTAAATTTTATGGTATCTGAACTATATAAATAAAGAAAAGCAACCCCCAGTGCCTAGCAACCTGGCCGTGCCCTTCCCCAGCTGCCACTGCCTGGTGCCAAGCCCAGCCTGGGAGGACATGCGCCCATGAAGGGGCGTTCCCCAGCTAGGCTTGTTTGCTTTGTCTCATTCCCTGCCCCGAAGAGAACTGAGGGAGCAAGCAGAGAACACACCCTTCACAAACCTTCCCTCTCTGTGTTTAGCACACCTGAACCAAGTAGCAACCTTGCCAGAAAGGCATCATCACTGTCCTGGGGACAGAGGGGAAACTGAGGCAGAGCTGGGCAAAGGTCATGTGATGGGCCAGGGGCAGGACCTGGGTCTCTTGACCGCTGGCTCAGTGGAACCCAGATGACACGTCAGAACAGGATCAGGGCAGGGGTTGGTTGCATCAGCCTCATCCGTTCATGGTCTCATTCTTTCCTTCCTTCGTTTCAATCACCCGGGGAACATCTCCTCTGATTCAGGCCTGCATCCGGGATACAGTGATGCCTCACTGGGCGGTCGCTAATCTCCAGGCCCTCGCTGTGGTGGCGGGATACCCTGGGCACAGGGGGCAGATGGAAGAGGTCAGCCCAGAAAGTCAGCAGACCAGTCTCAGTGGGATAGCGACGCCCCCTCAGTGCACACACCCGGACACGCACGTGTAGACGCACCAGCGGATACTGGCACAGTTGCCTAGACAAGGCCCTCACACTCACCAGGACAGCTCTCTCTGCACAAAGACTTATCATTAAGGGGATAATCATCCAGCCGTTTGTTGATTTATTTTGCTCGTGTCCTTCATTATTCATTTAAAGTAGGTAATACATTCTGGTTCAGAATTCCAAAGGGACTCATCCCGTCTCCCTAGTTCTTTCCCCAGAGGCAACTGTGACAACCAGTGTTTGGTGCCTCCACATACAAGCACATGCTGGTGGCAGTCTGCAAGCATCGTCTTGCCCCTGGCCGTTGCATCTGACAGCCAGGTGTGGCCAGCTTCCCCTCTCAGGACAGGAGGAGCTGCGCCACACTTCTCTATGGCTGCACAGTGGTCCATTGTGTAAACATCTCAGGATTTGTCTAAAGGGGCCCTGTCGATGGACATTTGGGTAGGCGGGTGCCAAGTTTTTGCTGTTACCAAAAAACGACGATGCTCCAGCTAATGATCTTGTTCAGATGTCCTGTTGCACTAGCATGAGAAACCCTGTAGCTAAATTCCTCAGCAGTGGAGCTGCTGGGTGGAAAGGCCGGTTACATTTTTTTGGTTGTGATAGAAATTGCCAAATCACCTTCATGGAGGTTGTACAAATTACCTTCCCGTCAGCTGAGCAAGAAGGTGTATAAGAAAGGAGTTGAGTGCAGGAAGAGAGGGATGTCTTTAAAGAAACACCGCCAACTGGGCTCCCGAGGAGCACCTTTCCCAGGGGGGTGGGAGAAATCTCTGGTTCTCTGTCTATTTCAACATCCAATCGATTCCCAATGCCTGAGTGGGAGAGCTTTGTCCTTGTCTGGGAGGCAATGGTCCCTGCAGCCTTTTCGCAAAGGGTCAGTGGTTACCCGGAGGGCACACTGTGGTGTGGGGGAGAGGCCGGGGGGTGGGGGTGGGGGGTGCAGAGACCAAGTCCGGGTCAGGGACAGGAGAAGCTGGAGGAAGCAGAGAGGCCCAGATCCCCATTGCTGTCCCCAGATCCCCAGGCTGCTCCGAGGGTGGACAGCATGGCCTCTGGGCCCTCAAATGCAGCAATAAGAACCCTCGGGGCATCACCTGCTGAGAGTTTCAGCTTGGTGACAGGATGAACTTTCACCCTAGCAAAGCTGAGCCACAGTGGAAAGGGCTCTCCTCACCCCAATCCGGGAATGCAAGCTGCAGGGCCCTGGCAGTCCTTTCAGGGAACCTCTTGGAGGGGCTGGGGGGTGCGGAGGGGTACACACCCTCTAACTCTGATGGCTGTGGCTCCCAGAAAGCAGGACACTGGGGTGGGCTCTGCAGCTACACGCAGTCATTGCCTACAGCAAAAAGCCTGGCAGACGCAGCCACATGGCAGCCTGTTCAGTAACAGGCAGAAACAGCATTTGTTAACTCAGATCCAGCCCCCTCCACTCACCCCACTTCACCTGGAAACTGCTAATGACAAATGGCTCTCCTCTCCCACTCAATCTACAATGCCCGGGGTCCCTGCTGCACCCTGCTGGCTGCAGGCCCAAGCAGACCCAGGCAAGTTCCTGTGCCAGCAGAGCCGCCGTGAGGGGAGCAGAGAGCCACGGGCGGGACGCGAGGGGTAAAGAGGACTGGAGCTGGCCTCCTGGTCTGCAACCGAACAGGACTCCTCTCCCAATATGTTGTGCAAAGGCTCATTCCCTGGTCTTCAGTGCCAATTTTCTTAAATGGAGTTTTGTGAAATGGGGTATTCCGGCATGGCGCCCCCGTGTGGCCATCTGATGTCTCCTAATTCTATCCTGTCAGGGAGCAGTCTTGGTCATGGCAGGGCACCCTCAGACCTGAACTTCTCAGCAGTCCTGGGAGGGAGGGGAGACAGGGCCAAACGTCCCCCCTTTACAGATGAAAAGCCTGGGAGGGAAGCAGTTTGCCCAGAGCCCGCTGCGAGTCTGAGCACAGCCGGCACCTGGAGACACCCCAGGTGCACTCACACCGCATCTCAATCTTCCTGAGAGCCAGAGGCTCAGCTGGGGAGAGACTTGGCCAAGGTCACCCTGGAGAGCGTCAGGGTCAAAGTGGGGATGCAGGCCCCAGCTCTGGCTCACTAGGTTGTGTCCCTACAGCTGGTCAAGACTGCTGAGCTGGACCCCTCCCGGAACTACCTGGCGGCCATCCACCCCCACGGGGTCCTGGCTGCCGGGATCTTTGTCAACATGTGCACCGAGAGCACTGGCTTCTCCCAGCTCTTCCCCGGCATCCGCCCTCACCTGATGATGCTGAACCTGTGGTTCCGGGCCCCCTTCTTCCGGGATTACCTCATGTGTGGGGGTGAGTCTTCCCCACCTGGGCAGCCAGGGAGAGGAGGCTGCCGGCCTGGGAGGAGGGAAATCTGAGGGGGGTGGGGTGGGGGCGACCAGTAGTTCTGGACTTCTTCCGGGAGCATGAGCCGTAAGAAGGAGGCTAGACTCAAGGGAGCACTTCCCACAGCACCATGAGGGCAGTGAGCGTGGCGAGGGGCTTAGGCATGAGGGGGGAGACTCAGTCCCAGTCCTCAGGAACGCCCAGCTGGAGTCGGGGGGAGGTGGACCAGGCCTTGGTGGGCACTTTTGGTGACCTCTTTGTTGGGCCACATCCACCCCCACGGTCCCTGCCCCCTGACCCCATCACTGACCACCTTCCTCTCTCCCCAGGGCTGGTGACATCAGACAAGGAGTGTGCTGCTCACATTCTGAACAGGAAGGGCGGGGGCAACCTGCTGGGCATCATTATCGGGGGTGCCCAGGAGGCCCTGAACGCCAGGCCCGGGGCCTACAAGCTGCTGCTGCGGAACCGCAAGGGCTTTGTCAGGCTGGCCCTGATGCACGGGTACCTGGGAAGAGGGATCTCGGTTCCGCTGGAGATCGGCAGGGGTTATCTGGGTGGGAAGACAGCAGAGACTAACGGAGTTCCTACTGGGGCAGGGAGATTTCCCAGTGCATTCGCACACGCACATGCTATTGTGGTGAGACCAGTCCTGCCTCGTGGCCAAACACCCACAAAGGGTTCCGGAATGGAGACTTTGGGACCAAAGGGCTGGGTGGGAAGGGACATATGGCCCAAGGCCAGCACTAGATCCGAGGCCTCTGGGATGTGGGAGACTGGAGTTTGGGGCGTATCGCAGGGCTGTGCTCTTCCTCGGAGCACTCTGGTGGAGCAGGCGAGGTTTTTCCGCAAAGCTGGCAGAGGATTTCTATCTGGGAGGACCTTGAGGCATTCTGGCCTATCCGCCATGGTGCCCCGGGGAGGTGGCGGCTCTGAGAAGGGGCCGGGACCTGCCCAAGGTCAGAAAGCGAGGCTCTGGCAGGTCCGGGAGACAACCTAGGCCTCCTACTTCCGGCCCAGGGCTCTGTCCTCTGCTCCAATGCATGGTCCCGGCGGGAAGCTAGGTGACCAGCCGGGCCTTCCGCGGGGCCTCCGACATGCCTTCTCTCCTCTGTCTCTCTCTAGGGTGCCTCTGGTGCCCGTCTTCTCCTTTGGGGAGAACGAACTCTTTGACCAAGTTGAGAACTTGCCTGGCTCCTGGTTGCGCTGGATCCAGAACCGGCTGCAGAAGATCATGGGTATTTCCCTCCCGATCTTCCACGGCCGTGGCGTCTTCCAGTACAGCTTCGGCCTTTTACCCTACCGCCGGCCCATCACCACCGTGGGTGAGCCAAGGCCCCGGCTGGGAGGGGGTCGCTTACAGGGAAAGGGGCCTGGGCTGTGAGCTGCAAGGGACACGGGGACGGGCCAGACACATCTTTGCCCTCACGGAGCTCACATTCTAGACTGTGAAACACACACAAGCAGGCGACCCCAACAGGAGGCTCTGGGATGAGAACTGTAACAGAGGCACAAAGAGCAATGGTTGCTACTGATTTCTGAGCACCTACTGTGTGCCAGACACTGCACGGCTCCCCTACATGCAGTGGCTCAGTTTCTCCGGACAACCTTCAAGGTAGAGACTGTTATCCCCATTTCATTGATGGAAACAGGCTCAGAGAAGGAACTTCCAAAAAAGTCACACTGCCTTCGAGTAACAAAGTTGAGGTTTGAATCAGGATCTGTTTGACTTTTCTTTTTTTAATATATTTTTATTGATTTCAGAGGGGAAAGGAGAGGGAGAGAGAGACAGAAACATCAATGATGAGAGAGAACCATTGATCGGCTGCCTCCTGCATGCCCCCCACTGGGGATCCAGCCCACACCTGGGCATGTGCCCTTGACCGGAATCGAACCCGAGACCCTTCAGTCTGCAGGCCAATGCTCCATCCACTGAGCCAAACCAGCTAGGGTGGATCAGAGAAAGAGGGTTTAATTCTGACCCAGAGGATTAATAGGCTTATTAGAAACGGTGGGTACAAGGGAAGGGCATCCCACGTCTGTTAGAACTGTGTGTAAAGCAGCAATTGGCAGGCCTGGGTCAGAGCCAGGGGGTTTTCTTGTAAATAAGGGCATGAGCTTTAGAGCATGGACGTAATACCAGGGTTTCCTATTTGGACACTTCATTGCTTTCTTCTTGGATTCCAACCAGGTTCCCCTGACGAGGCCTGGAGAGAGGGGTCCATTCATCTCCACCCACCCATTCATTTGTTAGTTGAGCACACACTCGGTGCACCCCTTACCCCAGGACTTGCCCTGTGCTGTGTGGCAATATTTTCATGAGTGTTAATACTGCCACTGCCTCCAAGGCTATTGCTGAGAGGAGAAGCAGGGGAGCTGCCTTCTCAGCCGGGCAGAACCAGGGGGAGAGGCTCCTTGGGGCCTTCCTGACTCCTCCCTCGAATGCAGGGGGCACTGCAGCCAGCGTGGAGGGAGAGCGGCAGGAAGAGCTTCCCAGGCTGCAGGCCTCCTCATCCTAGAAGTCACAGGCACTTCTAAGCAGGGCGTCTTGGACTCCCAGACCGTATAGCCTGGAGGTTAAGAGCACATCCCAGGCACTGAGTCTCCCTGGCTTTGCTGACCTTCTGTTGTTGTTAATCCTCCCCTGAGGATATTTTTTTCCCATTGATTTTTAGAGAGTGGAAAGGAAGGAGGGAGGGAGAGAGAGAGAAACATCAATGTGAGAGAGAAACATTAATTGGTTGCCTCCTGCAGACACCCCATCAAGGCTGGGGATCGAACCTGTGATCCTTCAGTGCGCAGGCCGACGCTCTAACCACTGGACAAACCAGCCAGGGCTTGGCCATGCCACCTTCAGCAAGTTACTTAACCCCTCTAAACCTCATTGCCTCATCTACCAATGGGAATCAGAGCAGGTTCCATCCCCAGATGATGGTTACAAGGATTAAAGGGGACAGCGCACGTAAAGCACCCAGCACATTTCTGGGCATTTTGCAATGCCAGCTGGTGGTGTTGTCACTGTATCTGAATGAATCTTGGAGTTGCTCTAACGTCTTAGGATTCGTCACTTGAAATAGGGTTGAAAGGAACGGCAGTAGGAGCACTTCCCTGCCCCAGGGCCCCCGCTCTGGCCCACCGCCCCCCTCTGTGTCTTACAGTGGGGAAGCCCATCGAGGTGCAGCAGAGACCACAGCCCTCGCAGGAGGAGGTGGACCAACTGCACCAGCGCTACATCGACGAGCTGTGCAGCCTCTTCGAAGCCCACAAGCTCAAGTACAACGTCCCGGAGGACCAGCACTTGGAGTTCTGCTGAGCGCCTCCCCAGAGGAAGGGGCTGCCCCAAAGGGCAGGGCTGGCATGAGGGAGCCCATGGGAGGCGCTGTCATCTGAGAAGGCTTCCTGGAAGCTTCTGTTGAACATTATCTCCAGAGTCTTCCAAGCCTCCTGCAAATCCAACCCCAAGTCACAGCTGACAATGTGGGAGGGGCGACCAGACACACCCTGGGCACCCGTGCAGGTCCCCATCTCCTCGGTCTGCTCGTCCGGGAAATGGGAGAGAGGGCTGGAAGAGAATGGTTTCCGTCCTCCATTGTAATGTCACTCATCGGACAAAGAAAAGAGAGCAGCAACCGATGACCAGGTTTTTCTTCCTCTACCTTGAATGACAGTGAAAAAGAAGCCACCAGCTCCAGCCCCTTCTACTAGCTCCCTCATCCCGCACCCTGGACGCCCCAGCTCCTCCCTCCCCAGCTGGGTAAGGAGAACCGCACTGTGTCACTGGCAGGCCTTTCCCCCCTCCCTCTGAGCCTCAGTTTCCCTGACTGAACAAGATGGCCTACGGTCTCAGCTCTGACATCACGTAGGCTGAGAGCTCCATGAGGTGCCTCCTACTTGTCCTTTGTAACTTCAGCCCCTTCCTTAGCACAAAAAGGGGGGCTCCGTGAACTTCCCATTCAATAAATGAAAGGACTCTGTGTTAGCTTCTCTTCCTCTACACTCCCCAATGCAGAGGGATTTGATCCCCAGCCTGGCCCTGTCTCATCTTCCCAGAAGGTGAATCTCTGGACTCATATTGGACCAGAAAATGTCATGTGGACTCTTCCTTTTGATCTGTCGGCCCCAAGCGGACCACCTCTGGCCCTGTTCTGTTGGGAAAGAGGGGAATGGGTATGTTCAGACACAGGGCAGGCCAGGACAGAGGATGAAGACCAGACATGAAGAGTGGATGTTAGTGTGTGTCTGCAGGGGGGTGGGGGTTGAGATGGGGACTGATGCCAGGTGGGAAGAATCTGGATTCCGGGTTTGGGACAGGCGTGCAGGGGCAGGATGGCTGGGTAAAACGAGTCCTTGCGAATCCCCCTCTTCCGCCAGCAGGGAAGCAGGCTCTTTCTGCCCAGGAGCAGGTCATGCCAACAGCTACAACATGGGGCATTTTGAGAAGTGTAAATAAATTTGGGTTCAAATCCTGGCCCATCCCTTTTTAGTAACTCTGGGCCAGTCACCTCCAGACCTCAGTTCTGTCATCCTCAAAATAAGGATTGCCATATCCACCTCCGGTGTCCTGAGCATAATGAGATGCTATTTTGAGATCATAAGCCACCCCGTCTCCTGTCGGGAGTGACACAGAGCATGTGGAAATAGGAGTCAGGTGATGAGTGCCCCTGTGTCCCATGGAGGTGCCTGCTACCCTGGGAGGAAGTGTGTGTACAGGTCACAGGAGGAACGGGAGTGAAGGGCAGGGAGTGACGATCTCCAGCCAGGGGAGACTTGGAGGAAGTGGCAGCGGCAGGGCCCTGAAGGAGGGCAAGACTTGCCAAGGAGAGAAGTACCCACCCGTTGGAGTCATCTGCTGCTGGGTGATGAACCACTGCAGAACACAGTGGCTGAGCACGGAGGCCGCACTGCTTATCACACTTCTGTGGCCTGGCTGTGGCTCTTCCTCCGCCCTCCCACCCCCCACCCCCGCCACACCCCGTCTTGCCTGGGCTCTCAGGCAGCTGCATTCAGCGGTGGGTGGGCCGGCTGGGCTGGGACAGCTAGGGGGCTAGAGCTGCTGGGCCTCGCTGTGCCGGTGGGCACTGGGCCCCTCTCTATACGGACCCATCTCTCGGCATTCAATGGGGGCTGCATTGCGAAAGGATGAGAGCAAGATTGCAAAGTCTCTTAAGTCCTAGGCTGCACACGTGCACACAACACTTCACTGCATGTTGTCGGTCAAAACAAGTCCTAAGGCCACCAGCCCTCAGGGGAGAGGAATGGAGTCCGCCTCTTCGTGGGAGGAGCAGCGATGTCACCATACAAAAGGCCGGGGACACATGGGATTCTTGTGGGGAGGGTTGGATAAAAGAACCATGTCTGAGGTGTGTCCGGAGTGTGGGGACGCACACAGGAAGGCGCACTAAGCCAGGCTGGGCCGGGAGGGTGGCAGAGTACTGCCGCCACCCTGAGGCCTGGAAGGTCACGTGGAGGCAGCAGGCACCCGGATCAGGAGAGTCGTGGGCAGGTCCCATGATTGCAGGGAAGGAGCCAGGTGAGCATTCCCACCGCACTCTCCTCCCTCCATCGCCTGCCAAGGCTTCCTATTGCCTGAACCCAGTTGGAAGCGTGAGGGCCTGGGGCTGCCATCCATGCAGCTGGGTCTCCCAGGAAGGAGCAGGGTGGACACCAATGGACAGTGGATGTGGAGGGGTCAACGGAAGACAGAAGATGTCCCCTTCAAAGCCCAAGCCCCGTAGCCTGCCGTTGGCCACTCTCCACCCTCTGGCCCAGTCCTCCGGCCCTCATCTCTCCTCCTCCCTCTCCTCAGACTGAACCATTTGCACTCCCAAGTGTCAGCCATGCTCTTCCTCCCTCTCACCTCTGGGCTTTGCCCATGATGTGCCCTCTGCCTGGAATGCCATCTCCCATCCCACCTCCCCCTTGTCTGGGTCATCCTACTTACCCTTCAGTGCTGGTGTCATCGATTCCAGGAAGCCTTCCCGTGCCTCTGGTTGAGTTGGGGGCTTCCCAGGCCTCCCCTTCCTCCGCCACAGCACTCAGCGCCCTGGTGGTCCGCGGGCAAACACTACGCACTGATACTCCCGCCTCCAGGGCGCTCCGGCCACCCACACGCAGCGCCAATGTCCTCTCCCAAACAAAACCCACTCCCTAAACTGGTCTCCACTGCCTCTAAACTCCTCCTCAGCCCGGCATTGGAGGCCCTTCTCATCCCCCTCCCCCCCAGTTTACCTAGACCTTCCCCCCTGGACCTCATTATCCCCTGTGCCCTTCGCTGCTCGCCCTTCTCTGCTGGCCAAACGCACTGGGCTCTCAGACCTGCTGAGCCCTGGAGCACACCAGTCCCTTTCCCCAGAACACACTTCCTCCTCCACCTGGTCAACATCACACACCGCCAGGCCGGTTGGGTGGCCGAGGACTTGTGCCATGAACCCCCACCCCCACCCCACCTCCACCTGCGAACAGGGCCTGCTGCCAGCTCACCACCTCTGCCCGCTGCCCTGGGCCTGAGAGCAGGCGCCATCCTGATGCTGTGCCCTGTCCCCCATCTGCTCTCCATGCTGCGTGCGTTCACAGAGAGACATGCATGGATAACAGCAGGAAATGGTACTGAAACAGTGGAAATCAGCATTTTTGCACAGGAAGCTTTGGGAGGTGTGGAAATCACTGGCAGTGGGGAAAAGTTTTGTTAGTCGTTACAGCATCAGGTGACAAACAATACTATCTTAATCTTGCAATATACTGAGTTTGCTGGGGCTATTTTTATACAGTGAAACAGCAACCTCGCAAGAAAACAAGAGAGTTTAATAATAAAACATTCAACTTCATTGAAAAGAAGTTTACTTAACCCCCAAAGATCACCACCTTCATCAAACCTTAGCACACCCCACTCACCCTCAAACCCCGCCCTCCACCCCACTGCCTGAGTCTGAGTTAGTTACCCCTCTTTGCGGCTACCTGGGGGGTGAAAAGGACAGGGTCATTGGGGTGAGAGGTCTCCCCGTGGATTGGGAACCCCCTGAGGACCAGGACCATGTCCTTGCTGCCTCAGCCCCATCCCAGCACTCAGCACCAGACCTGGTGCAAGTCGGTACCACAGGGGAGATGAGTAGGTTGCATAAATGAGCTCACACTGGGTGCTTCCTGGTGGGGACACTGGGCTGGGGCAGGAAGGAAGGGAGCAGACCACCTGGCCTCTAGCTGTGATTAAATTAGCCCTCTGTGGCTGCATGACAAATACTCCAAACCTTATCTGCTTCAAACAACAAACATTTGTTGTCCCACAACTTCGGAAGGTCAGGAATCTGCAGGGTCCTGGCACAGATCTCTCCCGAGGTTGCACCCCGTGGCTGTTAGCAGGAGGCTTCTGCCCCTCAATAAGTGGGCCTCTCCACAGTCCTGCCGATGATACCGACCAGGTGAGTCCCGGGAGCCACACCGCCATGTGTGACCTAGCCTCTGCGGCACACGCCATCCATTCGGCCTCATTCTGCTGGTTAGATGTGAGTCACCGAGCCCAGCCCACACGCCGCACAGGGCTGCAGATACCAGGTGGGGAGATGATTGGGGGGCAGCATGGAGAACAGAAGCTGAGCTGGCCGTGGAGAGGGTCCCCAACAGGTGGAGAAACCATTTGAGCAGAGGTCTGAGGGGAGAATGATGGCCGTGACCCCATGACCCCCAACCTGGCTGGGATGGAGTCCAAGGTGGCCATTAGATGTGGGGGTGCCAGGATGAGAGGTGGGGGATAGGGAGAGGCTTGATGGGCCAGAGGGAAGAGGGTTGTTTCATTATTAATCTCTCTTGTCTTCCTGCAAGGCTCCTGCTTCACTGAGGCCCCACGTGGAAGACATCAGCAGCCCAAGACAGGCCCATAAAGCACTGATCGCAGAGGAAGGCCGCCCAAGAGAGTTACCCCAATAGGGATACCCACCCAGGGCTTTGTGTGAGCAAAAATGTCCTTTCCCTGTGCTAAGCCACTGAGATTACGAGCATTTGTTATAGCGGTTGGCCTCCCCAACCGATACAGTGGGTCAGGAGTTGCACATATAAAGGTTCAGTTATTAAATTAGCACCTAACTGACACCTCAGAGCCCCCAGAGCCTGCCTGAGGGGCCTCACCAGGGTTCCCTTATCCCAGTGGTCAGCAAACCGTGGCTCGCGAGCCACATGCGGCACTTTGGCCCCTTGAGTGTGGCTCTTCCACAAAATACCACGTGCGGGCGGGCGCGTACAGTGCGATTGAAACTTCGTGGCCCATGCGCAGAAGTCGGTTTTCCGAAAGGAGATAGACGAAACAAGTATACAAGACGAGTGTGGATGGGAGAGTTGGAAGGGGTCGACCTCAGCGAACATACCTCAATCAGATTG